TACAGTAGGTATACACCAGTCTCTAAAATACAGTTTTCCAGTCATTTTTCTTAGGTACACAATCCTTACCCATATCAACCCTTAAACACTCAAGCAAATATGATATAATTAGTGTCACGAAATCGTAACATCCTGCTTTCGTTTCGGAATCACCAACTTCACGCACTTGTTGGGGAAAATAACTATTTTGGTCCTTCTACCTATGAAAACCACTTTCATTAATAAAATCCATCCAAATTCGGTTGGATGAACAAGTCACCCTTATACAGACTACCGGATAGTTAATGATTGATTCATTGTTAATTCTGCATTACATGCTACATGCTTTTGTTCAAAGTTGTAACACCCTTGCTTTTTAGTTAGCATAGTTTTCCTCTACGATTTCGTCTAGGCTGGAGACTGGAGAGTAGAAGGTTGTTGATTTTCGTTAAAAAGTAATCGCCTCGAAAACGTAAAACCGCCATAAAAACGCCAACGGAATTATTCATTTATTCACAGATTTCTGTTATTGTTTCACGCCTGATGTTTATTGTGCTTTCGTGGGCGAAGTGCTTTATCTGTTTTTGTTAACATTTATTAATAGCTTCGGTTTTTTTACTACTTCCGCAGTACTTTTTATTGTTGCGTTCATATTTAGGTATATAGGTACGGGTAACACGAGCACCAATGCACATCCTCTTCCGGCACACGTGAATTTTAAATAGGGCAAAAAATTGAATGACGAAATAAATTTTATTGCAGGTTAAAGACTAAGAAGAAGTTGGAATATTAATGTTTTCCAAAGACGGTAAGAGACCAGTTTTCTTTTATGTAACAATGCCGCACCTTTACATATACGAGACAAGAAATACGTTGATGTACGCACACATGGTGGACTTTTTTGTAAAACTTTTGTAACGGTTCCACGACGATTTTTCAGAACTAGTTTCCCTATTTCTGCACATGTAATTGACCTGTCGCAAGAAACCTATCTTTGGTTGGATTCGGGAATTAGTTTAATCATAAATTTCTTGATTCTCCCGTCGCTAACCTTTTATTCGAAAATTAATAGGATACCTACATTTTAAACAGTTTAAAAATGCCTTCTTGCTCAAAACTGACTATGTTACTATGATTTTATCTTATACACTTTTGATATATTTTCTTCCCTATACACGGTGTCCATTTTTCGAGTGACACTATGGAGATCTCGCTTATCTTAAGAGATAGAACCTCGGTTAAATTAGGGCAAAGTTGCGAATTTTCGTGCTGAATAATAATCTAAAAATAAATTTATAATATCTTCAATAGTTTTGAAAATATGGCAAAAAATTTTCTGATTTTCATTTTTAACTTTTTCATGGTAAACTAATTGTACTAGACATTTCAAATTAACACATTATTCAGATACTTTTTAATGGAGATTTCGAATATGGCATCCTGTTTTTAATAACCTTCAAGATGACGGAGAAACACGTGGCAACTTTAGTTTTTTTTTATGGCCGCCATTTTGGATTTTGACATTTTGAGATTAGGTCTTTTTTTCTCTTTACGACGATATATCACACATGAGTATCACATTTTTTCTAAAAATACAATTTTCATTTTCTGCGAAGAGTGCTATGCAAAAACAAAACATTCCTTTGTTGTGAACAAAATGTTGACTTATTTCAAGCAGTGTCATTTACGTTTGTGTTAGTTTTATTGGTAAAATATTATTTATTCTTATGTATTTTGTTCTAATTTGAATTATAATTTTATTGCAAAACGAAGGTTCAATTCTGTTCATATGAAAATCGAATTTTCTCAACACATCTAGTTCCCTGATGCCAACGCTGCAACCGGACATATGCATCAAACTGTCAAACTTTTGTTCACAATAAAAGAAAGTTTTGTTTTTCCAAAGCACTCTTCCCAAAAAATTAAAAATTATATTTTAGGAAAAATGTGATACTGAACCACCATGTGGTGTGGATCGTCGTACAGAGAAAAAAAGACGTAATCTTAAAATCTCACAATTAAAAATGGCGCCCATAAGAAAAACTAAAGTTACCACGTGTTTCTCTGTCATCTTAAAAGTTATTTAAACCGAGATGTCCTATTCGAAATCTCCATTGAAAAGTGTTCGAATAATGTGTTAATTAAACATGTCTAGTAGGTACGATTAGTTTATCATGAAAAAATTAAAAACGAAAATCAGAAAGTTTTGTTTTTTTGCGATATTTTCAGAACTATTGATGATATTTTAAATTTCTTTTCAGATGTTTATTCAGCAGGGTAATTCGCAACTTGCCCCCATTTAACCAACTTTCTATCTCTTAAGGTAAGCGAGATCCCCATAGTGGCACTCGAAAAATGGACGCCTTGCATAATGCAGGAAGGAAGGAATTTTTCTTTGCCATTTAGCCCAAGAGTTGGACTTTTGTGCGGTGAATTTTAAACATTTTTGCTGGTTTTGATCTAGCTATCTTCTACATCCCTATTAAAATTTACCGAATGGCAAGCACTTGAGGCAAAGATGTCTTAAAATCAGTATCTATCCGTAGTTTCGTTTGTGAAACTATGAGATGGAACCCGCGTGAAGTTAGCCCCCCAATTTTAAAATAATGAAACGTCAAGACTTCCTTGGTTTGCACATTGATTGCACATTTAGGCACACTACGATTTTTCGTTTGCACAGTTTTCTGAAAAGAGATATTGAAAAAACAATGTTGGGGATGCCAACTTTACGATTTTGGCCACTTAACATTAAATTAATTGAATATACTTCATTTGTTTGCAGATATACAAGCACACCTCGATTTTTGTTTGCGCATTTCCCTAAAAAAGGATTCTGAAAAAATAAAAATTTGGGGGATACCTTTACGATTTTAGCCACCCAACATTAAAATAATGGAGCGCTGTATATTTCATTCGTTTTTGACTTCGTTTGCCTAGCACAACTTAAGATCGCCTCATAGACATCCAGTAGTAACGAAATAAACGTGATATCGGAAATGGACTAACAGAAATCAAACACCCCGATTCCGGAATAGACAAACTAAAATCTTTCAGTGCAAATTCATTTAGTGACATGCGATAAAAATGGGAATGTACCGTCCCGTATTTAAGTTCTTAATTTCTTTTTTAGGGAGGTGAAATCGAATAAAGTATAATATACAGTTCTATTTTAAGGTTAGGGTCTAAAATTATGTACCTAAAGGAAAAATTTGTGCCCTTAGGCAACCGAAGTCAAAAACGAAAAAAAAAGCGCTCCATTATTTTAATGTTGGAGGGCTAAAATCGTAAAGGTATCCCCCAAATTTTTATTTTTTTAGAAACTTTTTTTAGGGAAATGCGCAAACGAAAAATCGAAGTATGCCCAAATATGCAATCAATATGTGCAAACGAAGGAAGTATTTGACGTTTCATTATTTAATGTTGGGGGGCTAACTTCACGTGGGTTGAGATGGATTACTTCTATGGCAACTAAGCAAATTTGATTTTTCTCACTATTTTTGCTTATTATATACCTACTTATGTAACTTTATTATACTTTCTCATTTGAGCAGTAAAAATAAAGCACTTCCGTAATTAGTCGTCAATTTTGATTCTGTTGCTACTAAAGTCATTTTACTCTAACGTCAGATCTCAAAAAAATGAGCAATTTTTTAGTTTGGCCGAAAAAAAGGATAAAGGAAAGGAATAGTCTTATTTAGATACATAACAAGTTCTTACAGTAGGTACAAACCGCGAGTTGATAAGACGTGTACAGTATACTGCATATACCTTAACGATCACGAACTGTGACAGATGTTTTCTACAGTTCTTTATAATCAAAGTTGAGCGTATAATAATGGGTTATTCATTCAATTCGGTCGAATACAAGGATGGGCCCCCCACGTAGTTGCATCAAACTTCGATTATTAAGTTCACGAGAAATTGTCAAGCACACGGGGTGTTCTTTTTACTCTTTTTTTGTTATATAGAATTATTACCGTAAAGAATGTGCGTTCTTTATGTATTAAAAACACAATTTAATAATTAGGGCGCCTTTCATATGGAAAGTAATTTCTGTTTTTATTTTGCCGCAACCTGATTAATTTATTTGGGTTTGTTGATTGAAATAAATGAATTTAGTTAAATTATGGATTACAGTCCCCTTTCATTCATTAATAGTATAATATTGCTTTTGATGTAAAATTAATTTTCCCTGTTGAATAATCATTTAGGGGATGACTTAGGAATTTTCGTAAATTGAACTTTGGTTCATTTTTTTTAATCATGCATATAGGTACCTAATGGTGGAGCCGAGGGTCACCTAGCTTTAATGGTTTAGTAATTGGCTATTTTATTAACTAATTCAAAACAAGCTAGTATCTAATTAAAAATTGAACTCGTTTCAAGTAATCAGGAATTTACTTTGTCCGAGCAATCGAGAAAATTACCACAAATTTACGGTTCCTCGCATCTGCGAAATTGATGCTAAAATGCGCACTGTTCGCGCTTTCAATATTTTGCTGATTGCACCCTATTGCCAAAAAACATGGAATCGGTTGCGTATCTCCATAATTTACTACCTATAGGTAGGTACAATTTGCATATTCGAGCATATTTATTGCGAAATTTCACATTAAATATGCGAAACAATTGCTGGAATGCTAGTGCTAGCTTCACGTTTTGGTCTATTTTATGGAATATTTTTTTGCTGAATCCTGCAGTGAACATGACTCAGTTGACTGTCTTAGCTTACATAACTTCAAAATTTTATTATTTTAAAAGTTCTTGAAACTGTATAATGCTTTTCTTATTTTTGTATTGTAATTTGTCCTGAGTGACAAGAGAGACGTTTATGTTGACAGAAAAAAGATAAATCTCCCAGAAGTACGTTTCATCGCATAATGGCGAAATGCTTCTGCCTATTATTAACGCCTCGTAAATGTCAGTAATTCGAACGAGTACATTTGTCTACATAAGTGTGTGTTAGTAAAGCTGGGAATTTAATTAGTGAAAATCTAAAAGAAATTTTTCTTCTTTTTCAGCTGTGAGCGATATCTGCACATTTTCTCGCCTAAAAGAACATTACAAAACGAATCATGTTGCCTCGACGAATCTATTTAACACCGATACCCGTCCAACGGCAGTTCAACAACTTTATGAGGCCGCCGCTAAAACTCCAATACCTCTCATGCGACAAATGGATCGTTGGCGTCGCGACGGACATCGTTCATCGAAATTCTTTGTCTGCACTCCTGTATTGGGCGAACGAAGAAAGAAAATACGGACCAGGGTCGATATCGACATTGAAACTCGAATGGTGAGTTTTATGTCTATTTTGATTGTCATAAAAAAGCGCACCCGTCGAGCGTCTAAATTACTTAGAACTTAATTCGGTTAGGGCTACAATTGTTTGACTTTATAGCCGGCCGCTCTTGACGACCTCCGCAGATGGACATCGGCGGAAGCGTTGGGCGACGTAACCATCGGGCCGAATTGTCCTAATCGTATCGTTCCAAACGTTACATATTCAGACGGTAACGTGACAGATGGAACGATTCACTCGGATGACGAAGCAATCGATTATAAATTACCCTCGCCCGAAGAACAACTCCAAGTCATCGCTCTTAAGTGAGAACTACATCATCGTTTCCTGACAAACGTCCAAACTCTATTTCATTTCCAGATTTCCCGCCGAAATTGTTGCTGTCGATGTATCTGGTAAGGCGTTTAATCGAATGTCGATACAGAGGAGGTCTGTTCTTCGCGGCGACCCTAATCGAACGGAGGGCGACACCATCCGTCTCAGAACGAGAACGCGGAAGCCGAGAAGTCGACGGAGGAATACTCTGGCGGGTACGGATCAGAAGGAAATACAGGACGCGATAGTCGCGGGGTAACTTAATCGTATTGATTTTGCTTGTGTTTGAATTTGTCTTTCGCAGAGAGGAAACTTTGGAACAACCCGACGCGGAAAGTAAAAGCGAAACGGGTTGCGTGTTTCGTAGTAAAAGTAGCGAACCTCTACGAGCGTCGAAAAAAGATTCGTCTTTGGAGAAAAAGTCGCACTTCTCTAGTTTAAAGCAGTGGGGTAAGAATCGACTAAAAATTCTAAATAAATCGGATTCGTCGAAATCGCCTCCGAAGTGCGAAGATGGAGATGTAAATGTTTACGAAACAATTACGCTTAAACGCAAACGAAGCTTGAGAGAGAAAAAAATTGTGCACGAACGCAACAATTCGTGCTCGTCCTCGGAAAAATCTAGCATTAATTTACCAATTACGACACCTTTGGCCAATTTAGCCGTTAAATTACGCGAAAGTTCTGTACAACGCCGGTTGAGGCGGTCTGGAGGGAATAAGGATGAGCCACACTCTTCTAGTGGTAATTGGAGTGCCAGCTCTGAAAGTGGTAGGGCATCCATTGGTTCAGAAATAACCGGTACAACTCAACCAAAGTCCACGACGTCGGCGGCCACCTCGAGTAATTCACTAAATGCGCACCCTCCCAGTTCGGTGAACAGTAAGCGAAAGTTTAACATCAACACTTCCGGATCTAGCAGCATTACAAGCGAGGGTACGCTAACCCCCGACATTCACGATTTTCACGAGGACGGAGAGACGAGCTCGGTTTACTCGTGCGACACCGAGGGCTACTACACCTCTTTCCATATGGACAGTGGCCTGAAGACCCTCAAAGAGGAGGACATGCCAGTGACCCCATTGCATTCCACTAGCGCATTTTCAAACACCAGCTCCATAAACACGATTTTAACGGCCGAAAATGAGTACGAACTGTTCGGTAAAGGTTCGACGTCAACTACAGCGAGTTCAGCCGGTACCGTTTGTACTACACTAATAGCGACCGGTAGCAACAAGTCTCTTGCCCTTGCGCCCGCCGTTCCTGAGAGGAAAAGCTCGCTTACAAAAACGAACGATAATTCCCCTGGAAGTTCCTTGGAACGTGAGTTCGGCAGTGATAAAACCGGGACCGTGAAACGTAGCCCGGCCAGCGGAAGTAAGTCGACGGTGATTGCACTAATCCATCAGCAAAATAACGGCGATATTTCGCCGGACAGCGGTCACAACACCTCCAGCTCGCCAATCGAATCTGCCAATAGTCCGAACGGTGTCAGAAGTTGTTCCGAGTTCGAATTTTCGGAGTGCTCCGACATGGAGGGCGCTGACAGAATAGAACGTATCAGAGTAAAAACCACGATTAATTCTAGCCGTATTCCCTCGATGTGTGTAATCACACCACCACATAGCGATGACGACGAAGATCAAATCGGAAAACCCCAAACGTTTCGACCTTTAGAAACTGATTTGGACAAGCTCCCATTTGCCGACACTGAGGAAGAGCCGACGCGTATGATGATAATTAACGTCAATCCGGAATCGGGATACGCCACAGTCGAAACCAAAAATATTCTAAATGCGCAAATTAGCGATTTGACTAAGGCGCTCTCGAGTGTTCGGGCCGCTTCTCCAAGCGGGGGAACTGTGGTAATTAAAGAGGAAGTGACAAAACCGTCCCATCAGCCCATTTTCAAGGCGTCACTTCTTCCTCTGAATAATGTGCTGGGCAAGCTGAAAAGTAACATTGTCAATTTCTCAAAGAGAGACAAGATTTGTTTAAAGAACGTCGACGTGATCGACGGTTTTGCGGATGAATCGGGCGACTATGTGACGATAGCCGATATTAAAAATAATAACGAGAAAGTTCCTATTTATGCCGAAACTATACCTCCACCAGCTGAGTATGTTTCACTCAATGAAATTTCATCGGACGCGGGGGATTCACTCGAGCGGAAACGAAGGCAAGGTGCCAGAGTGACTCTAAACGCCGAAGGAAAAGTGGTATATACCTCCGATAGTTTAAGACGCCGGAAAGGGGCGCACACGACTTTCGAGCCTGGCCCGTACGTCAAAGAATCACAGGTGCCGTCAGAAAGTCCAGTTCCAGCGCATAGAAACCTGAAGTGTGTTCGGCCGGTGCAATCACAAGACAACCTGCGGTCACTATCGCCACCGCTTGGACGAGTGGTGATAAAAGCGACAAGTCCAACACCTGAAATAGTACGCGTTCCGCCAACCACCATAGTAACCCCTACAATCAGGCCTATTTCTCCAAAACCCATAAATTCGCGTGGAGCCTACGTTCACATGCAAGATGCACGCGGGTCTCTATCCCCTTCCTATGAGAAAGGTAAGTTCCAACAGAAATCCAACGCAGTTAAACGCACCGATAGTTACCGCATCGCAAATTATCACACCCCTAACAAAATTATTTCGATTAATTTGGAAGATCGTATCGAAAAAGAAATCGCGGCGGAACTCTGGCGCGAGAGAATTAATTATCCGCCGTCAGTATCGCCGAAACTATGCGAGCGACAGTGTCACTTGTATAGTCAGGCTCATGCGCGCGAAATTTTGTTAGCATCCCCTAGCAGGGTTACAATTCCCAACGACAGTTTAGAGCATCGCGCAAGGGTGTTGTCCGCGTCGATTTCCGATACCGAAATTTGGTAAATTCCGTCCTAATTACGTTTTTACAGCGGTAATGGTTCCTTCAAGTTTCTTATCCGTCCTCTGCTTTGGTGATTTGGCCATATTCAAGACTAACAAAATGGTTGGTGGTAGTAAAATAGCGTTATTTGGGTCATGAATATGGCTAATTTACGGAAAGGCACAATGCATGTTTTGTACAAAGAACGTTGGTTTATGTTAGCCCTTAGCATCTGTGCCCTTTGTTTGTTTATGTACATAACGGTAGTGAGATCTGATCTTGTATGATGAACTTATTGTGTGTGCACCTCCGTTATTATCACGCTTGATAATGTGTAATTGTGGCATCTGCATGATTCATGTGTAATTTGTTTCACATGCACCTGTTGAATATAGCAAATTGTGTAATTACGCAACAGTATTTTTTTATGGTACAAGTAATGTAAGAATTGTACAGAAAGTGTATTATTTTATAAAATCGATTATTTAAATTAGGCTCAATAAACCTAAGGAATTCATAACTAAATTGTGACTTTAACATTCACCTCAACGGTTCTCTCAGTAACAGGAGCCGTTGATAATTACTAACAATATTAAATCCGCACCTTCATGATCATTTGCTTTTGATGTACGTACGCTCCATTTAACACTTCACTAATTTACTTACAGATACCCAACAATTTATCTTTTGTAATTGATCAGTCAGTTGATAGGAAGAGCCACAGCAGTAACTGGTTTTATTCCAAACGGGCATTTTTATAATTAAAATCAATTAACAAAGTGTGCAGGGTGGAGTGAGTAAAGCAGGTCAGCAATGTCTTTAGTAATTCATGGATATTAGTCTAAAATATGGAACTGCCAATAACTTAATTTTTTGATTATGTAGACACAGAATGGCAATGGCAATTTTGGTCATTTTAATGGAGGATGCTACTCTTCCGTCTATAACAGATTTCGGGCGTATTATACATATGGATATTTACTCATATTACATATAGCATATGAATAATTTATGAAATAAAATTCATCTATTCCTGGTAAAGCGAGAAACCTGGGGGCGATCGAAATATAACAATGGGGTCGTCCCCCAATGCAATGAGTTCCTTGCTTAATCGTTATTCCGTAATGAAACCCCCGCAACTTCCGTACGATAAGAGTTAGGTAAACGCCTTCGCCATAAGGCATACGAAATACCTTTTTGAGAAAAAGTTACTTTGGCTGTTGGTCGGTCGGTCAGTTGGCTGCAAAGGTTTTGAAGTTTAACTCTCGAACAGTGGCGGATTAAGGCCTTTTGGGAACCGAGGTGCAAGATGGTTTTGCCGCCCCATCCTTGAAACGTGTGTAGGTAACTGCCCAATAGGCACAAAGAACTTATTATTTGCAGTTCCAGTGGTAATATTAAACGAAACTTTTATTAAACTGCCACATTACTAGGTAATATTTTTATTATCGTTAAAAAATGAAAAATTGAATCTTACAGTTAAAAAAAAACAAATTTTATGTCTACAAAACGCATTCTTTTTTTCAAAATATCTTATCGGAATTTCCATCAGACTGCTCTCGAAGGAAGCAACGTAAAATGCTCGGGTTTAAAGCATTAGATTTGTGTCACAATTCTTTGCATGCAGATTATATTTCAGCGCTAATAAAACTTCGATCCGTTGCACAAAAACGCGCTAAGTAGCTCGACGCATCGAGTACTTTAACTGATTTTTTCACCGCACGTACCTAATGTAAGTGACTAGTAAGAAAAATGATCAAGAAGGGTATCAAAATATCTTGGCACTTTCTCCACCCAATCTCTCTTTAAAAATGTTAAATGATAACCCCCGGATGCAATGGGACATATTGCAAAGAAAATGTTGATATTTGTAGAGCAACAGCACACCTTCAGTGAAATGAAGCTGTTTTATGTCTCTAATGTTTATTTATTTACATGATTATTATAGTTTATTTAAAATGTCTCACTCATTTTTTTCTAAATGTTTAAGAATGGGGTAGTTTTCCTGGAAGGGAACGATCAATAAAAATGATTATGACGAAAGCTTATTTATGTTCTACTCTTTTTGCTTTAGATGTAATGTAAACAAATTAAATCATGAAGAAATGGGGACAGAATTACCTACCTACGTTTAGAAAATAAATTTCTTTTATGGAACCTCATGCAGACGAATGAAAAAAATTGGCGCACTCGCAATCTAGATTTTGCATTTGCGCAATCCAATTTTTTTTTATTTATTAAGATACTTAATGAAATTTTGTATAATTTTGTATAAAAGTAAAAGTAATACCAAATTAAAGAATTTGTTTGACAAGCTATGCTGATCTGAGGGGACAGAAACAACCTCTTAAGGAGGTGTGTTGTAAAATTGATGGATGCATGAAGATCTCGATGATCGTTCGGTATTTTTGTGCTTGTAAATTCTATACGCTAAAGTGATACTTATAAAATCAAGTCGAAGAATAGGTTGTACATGCGCAGTGCTACCTTTGTTATTTGTGGACGGATTTTGTTTGTTAAATAGTTGAAAACGAATTTGGCTAGAGCAACTCATTTTTTCAGGCAAAGATTGTTGATGTGGAAATGCACTTTTTTATAAATCGTTTACGATTACTTTCTTTAATATAAAAACATACTCATTTATTTTGATAGTTAGGTACCTACTCCTACATGTTAAAACATTTTTTCAAAATACTGCAAGATGTCTTAAAATTCTTATGAAGTGTACACTACAGGGGGGAGGGGGGCTATTTATTGAGAATGGGCATGTGCCCTTCAAGGCTACGTGAATGATTGCCTGAAGAACTACCGGAAAAACCTTTAAAATGTAGGGGATATGGTACTAGTGTACTTGTTTTAAGCCCCCAAACCCCTCCCCTCTATTCCTTAGCAGCATCTTTGGTCCTTTGCATAAGAGAAATGGGATTGGCTATGTACCTATACCATTCCAATTTATTGGCTCGAAACGATCAGTTTATCTACCAACCCTTTTGCAGGGACGGACCTAGACAAAAAAATCGGGGGGGGGGGGGGCAGACATGACATTTTGCCAACTCAACTGTAAAAATTTCCAACTCAAACGGGTAGTATCTATTAAGTCTTAAGTGGTATTTCAAAGTCTAATAAATCATGTAGAAAATGTAAGATATCAGTATACGGTCTCTAATACTAATTAAAAGCATTACCAAAATACCAACCTTGTGTTGAAGAAGAAGGAAGTGACTTTCCTATTAAAGAGTCCTTTTTTATAGATTTTGCCGCAATTTCTCATTCCTTCAATATAGTCGACTTATTACATTTACGATTTACCTACTTTCGCGGCATTCGCCAACTCATGAGCGTACGCAGGGGGGACAATGGGGGGCAGCTGCCCCTCCCTGGCCTGGCCACAGGTTACGTTTTATGTTCGTTAAAAAATATCTGTAAGAATTGTTTTTGTTGGCTTCTAATTAAAAACCTTTTCTTTTGAGATTTAAGCAATGAAAGAGGTTTTAAGCTATAAATTAGGGTACCGATTCCGAAAATCGCTGTTCCCATGCCGCGCATTAACACAAACCACTGTGCAGTGGTCACCAGTGATTTTTCGGTAGATCTACCGATTTGACCAAAATTGTACCGATATACCGAAATGGCCTTTATATCTACCTATCTATTTTCGCCCCGTGTTTTTTTGCATATTTAATACAAAATTAATTGATATAAAAGCGGTAATAACTAATATTTTGAGATATAATAATTTTGAAGACGTTTTTAGTAACTATTATTTTTTATTTATTTTATTTATTTTATTTTGTCCTTTATTTTTGAGTGGGCGAGGTTTCAGCCAAGGCTGCTCTACCAACCCATCTTTTCCTGCACAGGTCTCCATAATGAAGTAGCGCGAATGCTGCGAACAGCTACGTTATCAAAAAGTTGTTCACGTCCGTCCGTCCGGCCGGTCGTTATGAATCGTCAACAAGGGTTGGGCTTCCTGAAACAGGGCAGCACAAAAAGCGTGCTCGCTCTATTTCCTTAAAGCTTTGCGTGGGTTTGTTATGTTTGTGTCCATAGAAATGTGATCAACATATTTTAAGAATGTTGTGTTATTGAATTTCCTAAGGGGCGTACGTACCCCTTCAATCAATAACGGTTGTGCTTTAAAATTTAAAGTGGTTACACTGCACTTGATGATGCTTTCGTCTCAATAATGACGTCGGTTTCCTGGGCTTCGTCTGAGTTATAATTAATGAATCACTGAAACATTATGATCTGGTCAGTTTCATTCATAAGTCCGTTGGTAGAAGTTTGATTGAATTTTACTTCCATGTAATTAACTAATTAAAATTGACGCGTACTTGTTATTAGTGGATGGCAGAAATAAGTAACAATTGGTACGTAAATAAATGCGCCATTGATACTAATAACATCTAGCTCAAGTACCTACCTAAAGTTAATAAATTGTTGCAATGCAAGTATCCAATAACTAGTTTGATTGCTTATGGCTGAAAGTTCCTTGTTTCTTATAACAAATATATTTATGGAGAATAATAAAGAAGGGTGAAGTTGAGTTACTAACATGTGAATGCAAACTAAAATGTCTGCAGGCCTTTATATACCTACTTGCTGAATAACTGAGCCATAGGTACTATTTTTAGTGAAGGGTCCACATTCCTGCATATTAAATATCTTTCTGTGGTTGTATGGCGAATCTAAAACTCTGACTAATTAAATCATATTGAATGTGGTTACCCGCATTACTCATCCGCTATCATTAGCCTTAAGGGCTTGATAACAATGTACAGTACATTGAATCACATAAGTGGCCTACCATTTAATTGTATCGTACACGTACACCTAGTAATTTGCTTGCACGGGACGCATGGAACAGCACTGCTTTACAAGTCGAGGTTTTTATGTATATACAAAGACGCCGAGGTGAGAATTTATTGATTTTTTTGCATGTCTGTTTGTCATTTGCATGTTGCATCTCTATATTAAAAAAGTTACAAACTTTTATTGTGATTTATGCTGTGATGGTACTTAATTTTGCAGATTCTGTATATTCTCCGGCTAATCAACCGACTGCATCCAATAAGTGGGCAATGGAGAATCCAATTCATCGTACAATTGATACTGACTCGTACGGTTATCACAACCCTTTGTTGGATACAAATTTGTATTGGAAAGGAAACGATACTTACCATACTCTACCAAACAAAAAGTCTCAGTATATATCAAGTAATTTGAAATTGGAACGGCCAACAACACCCGATATAATGCGCGGCCACGTTAATCACAAACATCCTAATCTTCACCAAACATTGCCAAATCGACAATACTTAGTAAAAAAATTAGGAATGCCTGTGCAATTACCTCAAGTAACCGACGTATCGATGGAATATAAACCACAAGTGCCTTCACTA